TCAGTCACCATATCTGCAGTGGAGGCCGAAACACTGGCACGGGCATCCTCAGGCAAATGCACCTCCACCGTCACCGTAGTACGCAACATAACCGGAGCCACCCCTCCATCGCCGGCAGATTCACAAGCGACGAAGTTGCCAACATCTGTCCATGCTGAAGACGAACGCGGAGAACGCTTAGGCTCGGGCCGCACATCATCCGACCCGGAGGCAGACTCCGAGACACGCGCAACACAAGCAGGGCGAACCGATGCACGTCGCAGAACGGCAGCATCCTCAACCACATGGGGCACCAGGCCAGGCACAGGAGGAAGCGCCGGATCCACCCCAACACGCAGCACAGCCGGAACAGACGGCGAGGGTGCAGGGACAGGGTCAGACGCAGCAGAGGACGAACTGGAAGACGGGGGAATCGAGCAGCAGGCAGTCTGAAGAACCCCAGGGACACAAGTCGGCGCAGGACGATCACCCTTCGACGCCACCACCTCTTTAGGAGAGGCGACAACAACAGGGGGCGCACCAGGTGGCGCAACAGGCGACACAGGGGGCACATCCGGGGCTGAAGAGACGGCCACATCCACTGAATCCTCCTCCACAGGAAGCGGCGGAAAATCCACCTCACTGAAGAGGTTCACGGGTGCAACGGCAGGCGCAGAACAGTCAGCAGCGTGATGGCCCAAGAGGCCACAACGATAACACGTCCGAGGCTGGCGGGCGTAAAATACCCGAACGTTGTAGCCCATAAGCCACACAGAGGACGGAATATCTTCCCGGAGCCTCATACCCAGGGTGCGAATGTTGGTCCTCACACCCTTAAGTGGACTGGAAGACACCACGTTCACCCGCACACTAATCACTGCGCCAAACCGGCCGAAGTACCGCCGTAGCAGACTCTCTGGAAACTCCAACGGAGCCCCATGCACACTGACGTACGTGAGGGCACCACTCCGATCAGATAGTGACACAGTGCCCGCACCATCTGGCAGGGGAAATGTCCGCCCCTCGTAATGACGGAGAAACTCGCGATATGCCAATTCCTCGGTAAATTTCAATATCGCTCGACGAGCCGTCACCAGCTCGACACCATAAATGTCGATCACAGGGACATGAAGCACCTCACACACCAGCGCTATCTCTGGGTACACAGCCCGGCCGGAAAATTCGAGGCCCACAGACTGAGCCCGCAGGACAGGGGGGAGGGGGACCCCCATCGTTAACTCCAAGTCAGCACAGGCAGGCAGAGACACACCCGCCCTCAACCGGCCAAATTGGTAAACACCACCAACAGCCGGAGCGCCGATTCACCACGTCCTTCCCCTACCGAAGCTAGGGCTTGACTCCACTGGACGACATAGTCGCACCAACCTGGTGTCTGGTTTCTCCAGTAACGCCTGGTGATGTCTTCAGTCTCTTGATCACTGAAGAACTCAGGATGATCTGTGAGTGAATGTTTTCTGCAATATTCATTGCATATGTACTGTCAGATTATCATTTACACGCTGGTACTTGAATGTATTCGTTGCTCATTTCAGTGTATGCTGGTGTTGGTCAACTTCCTTTACCAATTACTATTTCTGTGTCACTATCACTCCTGACATCATTGTGTTGACTGACAACGTCGCCGCCAGTCTGCTCTACCTGGAGTGTTGCCAACATAGTGGACATACTTTGTCATGAAAACTTGCCACCTGGTGTTGCCAACACAGTGGACATACTTTAGTAGTCGTGGAAGCTTGCCACTTGTAGCGTTATCAACAAAACAACAAGTGATTAAGAGTGCTCTTCATTTCAAGAACTATCGGACGGTAGATGCTGCGAACGACGTTGCCAAGTTGGTTTATAATGGACTTTGTGCAGTGGCTGTCTTCTTCTTCAGTTCACAGTATACAAAAAAATGGAATCACTGATGGCATCTTTTAGTGCACTTGACAGTTGGTTGAAGAAACAATGCAGAGTCTTTCCCGGTAAAGGAATCAGAATTCATGTTGAATGTTGATCAGTTATTTGATAAGTTTTGTGTTGATGATGAGCAGCGAAGACGTTTGGAAAAAGGGGGATTAAGAATGATGGATGATGATTATTCCTTTTACAATTATCACAAGGGTCCACGTGTTTGAAAATGTTTGGCTTGCCGTTGTTCCACTGAATTCATGTCATGTTGTTTATGCGACGTTCATTTACCCCATTAAGTGCACCAACATCTTCCTCTATGAGAAATGAAGAAAAGTCCGAGTTGGCTTCTGGTTAAGTCTCCGACTCTGACTCAACATCCACGAGCACCTCACAGCATTCTGCTGTGTTTGACTCAACATCCACGAGCCCATCACAGCATTCTGCTGTGTCTGAGTTTGTGCCGGACTGGATGCGACCTTGCGAACACTGGCAGTGGACTAACCCGGCCTGGATGTGCAAGTGTCTCCAGGTATCCCACCGGACAGCAGCTGCAGATGCCAACAGTGTGTTGCAAGTCTCATAACTGATCATAATAAGAGTTATATCGGTGATCGTAGTAAGCTACGAAGAGAGCGGGAACAGTGTGGAAATAATATTAGGGAAGAAGAGCATGAGAACGTCTATACACTGACCCACGCATGACTTAGATGGGCGCACCACAGTCCACTACGGGCTCACCATAGCCCATGCTACTTGGAACATTTTGTTCCAGGTAGCGAATCTTAAGCAACAACATAGATGAGTGCAAGGATGCCACGCAAACTGTTGTGGAGGACCAAATAGAAAACTTTATAGATCAGTGCCACTTGAAGTTACTATACTTTAGAACAGTTAGTCAGTACTATACTTTAGTCTGGGAGCCAGGAGAATATTACCTCACTCATCGTTCTCCTGATGACAGTAATGGCAGGACTATCGCGCAAGGGCTGTTTAATACCTTGAAGAGCACTGAACAATATGATCAACCTACAATTGTTGGTACTGATGATACGTTATCAATGACTGGCGAGTACAGTGGTTAAATTCCAGGTTTAGAGGAGTTGTTAGGTAAGCCACTTCAGTGGGTTTATTGCCTTCTACATACCACCGCACTCCCGCTGTGCCATGTATTTGTGACTCGTGTTGGAACCACAAACACCTCAAACTCATTCACAAGAGCTATTGGGATAGTTTGTGTGTCAAATTGGCCAGTTGCTCAGTTCAAGCAAGTACCAAACCCCTCACTCTCCAGAGGGCTACAGTCTGTTGTTGATGACCTCAGTTCAGATCAGTACTGTGCCTACAGGATATGATGACCAGAGTACAGATCAGTACTGTGCCTACAGGATATGTTAGCAAATATTTTTGAAACAGTTAATAGTGATCTGCAATATCTGGAGGTTGGTCCTCTTATGCATTCATGGTGACTAATCCGTGACTGGAGGACCCTTCCATACTGTGCGTCGTTGGCTAACCATTATCAAACATTGCGCTTCTGCCTTCAGGAATATTTCCCCCCTTAGTTTGAAATTAAATCAAACAGACAGTTAGCATGTGGATCAAGACACGTTTTTTTTATGATTCAAAGAATTACACGATTGTCAAATAAGGTTGTGCAGGGAACAGCCTTGAAATTAATACAAAAAGATAAATGTTTTACACACCCAGAAAATGTTTTGGCTGCAGTGTTTGGCGACAGTGATGAAGAAATACGAACGTTGGGCATGGACAAAGTACTGTCAATATGTGGAAAGTTTCCATCATTCCATCTATGCACAAATTTTAAAGGCGAATTTGTTGACAGTGATGACGAGGGAGATCATCTGGAGCAGGAGGAAGCATTCGCTTACATCAATTCCATCTACTAGCAATAAGCTTGACAGTAAAATGTTACAATAACTTGGTCAATTTAAATTCTTGTCATCAACAGCACCCAGCCATTTGGCACCTGACAAATTTCGATATTTAGCAATGCTGAATGATGCCTTTACAGCTCAACCATCCGTGTCTCAACAAGTCTGTTGAGACATGACAAGCTGGTGACTGAGGCATCAACACAACGCCTGAACACCGGTCAATGGAAGGGTGGATAGACATTCATGCAGGTTTTAAAGAGTGGTTGAGCTTGCTGTCAACCAGTAGTTGCCATCCAGCAACCAGTGTTCAGGCCTCCTGGGGGGGGGGGGGGTTCTGGTCAAACACAAACGACCGTGCCACGAGTAACTACCACATGTTGCATTATATTCACGACACAGTATAAATAGCATGGAGAGGAAATGTTACTCAATAAATAGTAATTGAATAAAATAGTAGGTGATATAAACTGTAGGGTATATGATACAAGTCCATGATAAATCGATAATTTAACATATATCATATACGTTATCGATTATAAGTACATGATAAATACACATAATAAATCGTCCACCGATGGAAGGTGATTTGCACCATTTTTACCGCTGCCGGTAACCCCCAAAATAGTCTTTTGCTAATAATATTTTCTTGCACAAATAGATAAAAACGTTCTTCTTAAGAGATATAGAAGCATGAAGATTCTGTAAATTTTGAGCCATAAATCATGTCTCTAGCTCCAGTGGTTGGTGAATTATGACCATTTTGACCATCCCGCGGGCTCGTTCAGAGCGGCTGTCTGCCCAAAAATGGTGGCAATCATCCGAATCGTGTTTTTCTTACTTTTGCCATATTTGTCAGGGATTAAAAATTAAAATTTTTAGATTTCAGGAAAATAATTTTTTTCACTCCACTCTACTACGCTATTGTGATACAAATATGGTGGAGTGCTGTTATTCGGAAGACATTAGCTAAATTACCTTTCATCGCAAAATAGCTTGCATGGAAGTTGCAAAGTATTTCATGAGCTGTGTCTGAACATTGCAGCTCCCCCTGGGAATGAATTCAAATGACACAATGCCATATGGCTCTTAAATCAGAGTAACGCATGCAGCATGAGTCTGTACTCAAAAGTACAGTGCACTATGATGAAGCATCAGGAACACATCCACCCGACGATGATCTCTGTCTCACTCATGGCGTTTTGTGCTCCACAGAGCGGTGGTGATGGCGTCCACGGAGACTCCCTTCAACACCACCGACCTGCTTGCTGAAGGGTAAGTGTGTTCATTTACTATTTGTGCCTGAAGGATCAAGCTGCTAGCTCTTGAACCCCGCCTTTCTAACCGTCTGTTGTCTCATGCCCTGACTCCCGACCTGTTTTTCTTGTATCACATGTATTACATAAAGTGTATATTCACCTAGTTGTGCTTGTGGGGGTTGAGCTCTGCATTTTTGGCTCGTCATTCAACTGTCAATCAACTGTTACTAACTACTAACTATTTTTTTCCACACACACACACACACACCCAGGAAGCAGCTCTGTAACAGCTGTCTAATTCCCAGGTACCTATCTACTGTAAGGTAACAGGGGCATTCAGGGTGAAAGATACTTTGCTCATTTATTCCTGCCTGGTCTGGGAATCAAACCCGTGCCTCAGAATTATGAGTCCTGTGCGATGTCCACTCAGCTACCAGACCCCCACGTGTTGCAATGTTGTGTGTGAGTGTATGTGTTGTGTGTGTGTATGTGTGTGTGTGTGTGTGTGTGTGTGTGTGTGTGTGTGTGTGTGTGTGTGTGTGTGTGTGTGTGTGTGTGTGTGTGTGTGTGTGTGTGTGTGTGTGTGTGTGTGTGTGTGTGTGTGTGTGTGTGAGAGAGAGAGTCGCCGACCGAGGTCGCATTTTCTCCACCAGTGCTGAAGTGAGACACATATAGAGTATTATCTCAGAACATTTTGAAAGATTCACTATGGAAAATCTGTCAAATAACACATCAGGTGTTCCTAGACGGTATGGAAGTAATTATCAAAAGAAGGCACCAAGCCGGGGAGACTATGTAGCACCATTAATGTGCGGGATTTTTAAAAGTGGCTTAATATCAAGAAGGATGCCAATATGAGAATAAAAGTGCATAAAGCAAACAACATCAAAGGTATCCGAGTCACAAAGGATTCTATTGAGGGACTGGCGACCGCGAGGGACAGTCCTGAAGCAAGACACAGGCACATCTCAGGAGTCAGGACATTCAACAACGATATGCACGATCGTAAGATGGACAGTGCAGTTTGGACAATAAGGAGCAGGGCGCGCTCCATTAAATGCCTGCGAGTTAAGAGTGTATGGCCAATACATAACCTTGCCAGAGCCGTTTCCCACCACCGGTTACAGTGGTAGGAGGAAGGCCACGGGGACACACTACCCTTAAGAACACGCAGCTTGTTACCAGTAACAGAAGACTAGCGATCCTGCCAACAGGCAAGGATTGAGGAATGAATAACTGGCAAGAAATCGAAATAAAGAACCCTTCTGTGGGAAATGTGACAAGTGCAGATAGACTCCTTCGTGGTAGCCTCCGCACGCTCATTTAAGGACACACGAATATGGCTGGGAACCCAGCAAAACTCAACTATCTTAAATCTGCTGGAGATAAGAAACAGCCAATATTGAATTTCGATGACAACAGAATGGACAGGATTAAAAGACTCCAGAGCCATTAAGGCACTGTGAGAGTCAACTACAACAAAGGAAAATTGACAGAGAGAAAGCAGCTGACAAAGAACATACAAAATGGCATAAAGTTCTGCCTAGAAGATGCTAGTCTCCGGGGGAGCAGGCAACACGTATAGGTGTGGTCAGGAAATAACATCGAGTAGCGTCGGCAGACTTAGACCCATCTGTGAAGATGATGATGGAGCGGGAGTATGAAGAAAAAGTGAACAAAGAAAAGATGTTTCAAAACTGTAGGAGAGGTAAAAGCTTTTGTTATGCGAGTCAGGGTTCTACAAAACTTTGGAAGAGGGACTCTCCATGGGGGCAAGGATGGAACGACACGAGGAGAAATATTGGTATCATGAACCAAGAGAGAGAACCTTGGAAGCAGGACAACAGAACAGGAAGGAGAAGGTGGCAGAAGTGAACAAAGTCCACAGGATGGCTAATGATCAAAGTACGACATAAGCGAGAGTGAGGGTGCTATAAGGATCACGCAAAGTAGCGAAGACAGTGGCAATACCGGCGATCCTGTAGAGACAGGATGCTGGCTTCAACATACAGGATGATGGTAGGAGTTGAACGAAAGGCACCAGAGCCGAGGCGAAACCCAGTATGGTGAAGAGCATCAAAACGATGAAGGGATGAGGGAGAGGCAGACGAGTAAGCAGGACAACCATAATCACGTTTAGACAACACGAGAGTGAAATGTAAAGAGAGGATTGTGTGTCTATCAGCTCCTCAAGAAGTATGGGACAAGACCTTAAGTAAGTTAGAACATTCAACTCAGAGGTAAGAGATATGGTTGTCCAAGACAATCAGGTGCCAAAGATTAACCCCAGAAGTTTTGCAGAATCCTTCTGCAAAAGGATTTGCAGAAGGAAATGTCTTCATTGGAAGACATTAGCTAAATTACGTTTCATTGCAAAATAGAGTGTGTGAAAGTTGCTAAGTATTTCATGGGCTGTGTCTGAACATTGCAGCTCCCCATGGGAATGAATTCAAATAACACAATGCCATATGGCTGTTAAATCAGAGTAACGCATGCAGCATAAGCCTGTACTCAAAAGTACAGTGCACTATGGTGAAGCAGCAGGAACACATCCACCCGACGATGATCTCTGTCTCACTCATGGCGTTTTGTGCTCCACAGAGCGGTGGCGATGGCGTCCACGGAGACTCCCTTCAACACCACCGTCCTACTCCCTAAAGGGTAAGGGTGTTCATTTACTATTTTTGCCTTAAGGATCTAGCTGCTAGCTCTTGGACCCCGCCTTTCTAACCATCTGTTGTCTCATGCACTGACTCCCGACCTGTTTTTCTTGTATCACATGTATTACATAAAGTTTATATTCACCTAGTTGTGCTTGTGGGGGTTGAGCTCTGCTCTGTCGGCTCGTCTCTCAACTGTTACTAACTACTATTTTTTTACTTTTTTCCCACACCCCAAACACACCCCAGGAAGCAACCCGTGACAACTAACTCCCAGGTACCTATTTACTGCTAGGTAACAGGGGCATTCTGGGTGAAAGAAACTCTGCCCATTGTTTCTTTGTCGGCACCCGGGATCAAACACAGAACCACAGGATCAGGCTTCCAGCGTGCTGTCCACTCAGCCACTGCTCCCTGTGTGTGTGTGTGTGTGTGTGTGTGAGTGTGTACTCACCTAGTTTTTTTTGCGGGGGTTGAGCTCTGGCTCTTTGGTCCCGCCTCTCAACCATCAATCAACAGGTGTACAGATTCCTGAGCCTACTGGGCTCTATCATATCTACACTTGAAACTGTGTATGGAGTCAGCCTCCACCACATCACCTAATGCATTCCATTTGCCAACCACTCTAACACTAAAAAAGTTCTTTCTAATATCTCTGTGGCTCATTTGGGCGCTCAGTTTCCACCTGTGTCCCCTAGTGCGTGTGCCCCTTGTGCTAAATAGCCTCTCTTTATCTACCCTATCAATTCCCTTGAGAGTCTTGAATGTTGTGATCATGTCCCCCCAAACTCTTCTGTCTTCCAGCGAAGTGAGGTTTAATTCCCGTAGTCTCTCCTCATAGCTCATACCTCTTAGCTCGGGTACTAGTCTGGTGGCAAACCTTTGAACCTTCTCCAGTTTAGTCTTATCCTTGACTAGATATGGGCTCCATGCTGGAGCCGCATACTCCAGGATTGGCCTGACATATGTGGTATACAAAGTTCTGAATGATTCTTTACACAAGTTTCTGAATGCCGTTCGTATGTTGGCCAGCCTGGCATATGCCGCTGATGTTATCCTCTTGATATGGGCTGCAGGAGACAGGTCTGGCTTGATATCAACTCACACACAACTGTGTGTGTGTGTGTGTGTGTGTGTGTGTGTGTGTGTGTGTGTGTGTGTGTGTGTGTGTGTGTGTGTGTGTGTGTGTGTGTGTGTGTATGTATGTGTGTGAGTGTGTATGTATGTGTGTATGTGTGTGAGTGTGAGTGTGAGTGTGAGTGTGAGTGTGAGTGTGATTGTGATTGTGATTGTGATTGTGTGTTGAGTGCGCGCTGTGTGTGTGGTGTGTGTGTGTGTGTGTGTGTGTGTATGTGTGTGTGTGTATGTGTGTATGTGTGTGTGTGTGTGAGAGTCGCCGGCCGAGGTCGCATTTTCTCCACCAGTGCTGAAGTGAGACACATATAGAGTATTATCTCAAGACATTTTGAAAGATTCACTATGGAAAATCTGTCAAATAACACATAAGGTGTTCCTAGACGGTATGGAAGTAATTATCAAAAGAAGGCACCAAGCCGGGGAGACTATGTAGCACCATTAATGTGCGGGATTTTTAAAAGGCACTTAATATCAAGAAGGATGCCAATACGAGAATAAAAGTGCATAAAGCTAACAACATCAAAGGTATCTGAGTCACAAAGGATTCTATCGAGGGACTGGTGACCGCGAGGGACAGTCCTGAAGCAAGACACACGCACATCCTGGGAATCAGGACATTCAACAAGGATATGCACGACAGTAAGATGGACAATGTAGTTTGGACGATAAGGAGCAGGGCGGTGCTCCATTAAGTGCCCGTGAGTTAAGCGTGTATGGCCAATACATAACCTCGCCAGAACCATTTCCCACCTTTCGTTTCAGTGGTAGGAGGAAGGCCACGGGGACACACTACCCTTAAGAACACGCAGCTTGTTACCAGTAACAGAAGACCAGCGATCCTGCCAACAGGCAAGGATTGAGGAATGAATAACTGGCAAGAAGTCGAAATAATGAACACTTTTGCGAGAAATGTGACGAGTGCAGACAGACTCCTTCATGGTAGCCTCCGCACGCTCATTTAAGGACACACGAATATGGCTGGGAACCCAGCAAAACTCTTAAATCTGCTGGAGATAAGAAACAGCCAATATTGAATTTCGATGACAACAGAATGGACAGGATTAAAAGACTCCAGAGCCATTAAGGCACTGTGAGAGTCAACTACAACAACAAAGGAAGATTGACAGAGAGAAAGCAGCTGACGAAGAGCATACAAACTGGCATAAAGTTATTCCGTGAAGATGCAAGTCTCCGGGGGGGCAGGCAACACGTATAGGTGTGGTCAGGAAATAACATCGAGTAGCGTCGGCAGACATAGACCCATCTGTGAAGATGATGATGGAGCGGGAGTATGAAGAAAAGTGAACAAAGAAAAGATTTTTCAAAACTGTAGGAGAGGTAAAAGCTTTTGTTAGGCGGATCAGGGTTCAACAAAACTTAGGAAGAGGGCCCACTTTGAGGGCAAGGATGGAACGACACGAGAAGAAATATTGGTAACACGAACCAAGAGAGAGAACCTTGCAAGCAGGACAACCGAACAGAAAGGGAAAAGTGGCGAAAGGGAACAGAGTCCACAGTAGGGATAGTGTTCAAAGTACAACATAAGCGAGAGTGTGGGTGCTGTAAGGATCGGGCAAAGTAGCGAAGACAGTAGTGATACCAGCGATCCTGTAGAGACAGGATGCCGGTGTCAACATACAGGATGATGGTAGGAGTTGAACGAAAGGCACCAGAGCTGAGGCGAAACCCAGTATGGTGAATAGCATCAAGACGATGAAGGGATGAGGGAGATGCAGACGAGTAAGCAAGACAACCGTAATCGAGGTTAGACAACACGAGAGTGGAATGTTAAGAGAGAGAGGAATGTAAAGAGAGGGGCGTGCACCTATCAGCTCCCCCAGAAAGTATGGGACAAGACCGTAAGTAATTTAAGGGCCTTAGAACTTTCAACTCAAAAGTAAGAGATATAGGAGTGACCAAGACAAACGAATTCAAGGATTATAACCTGAAGTTTTGCAGAATCCTTATATAAAAGAGGATTACCATAAAGCGACAAAGGGGACGAAGAACGACCTGCTTCCGAGTAATGGTCATACCACATGTCTAAAATGTAGAGAACTTGAAGCCATGATTGGTGGGCCAGGAAGACACGGCACCATTTGCAAGTTGAAGCTGCCATTGGAGGAAAAGCGAGTCATCACCTTGACATCAGAGGATATTATCGTAAACATAGAGAGCTGAGAAAATGCCAGAGGGAAGGGACGAAGGAAGACCATTGAGGGCAACCAGGAAAAGAGAAGTGATCAGTACACTACCTTGAGGTGCACCTTCGTATTGCCGAAAAGAGGCAAATGAGCAGTACCAAGCCTTATTCTAAAGGAGCGACGAGAGAGGAAGCTCCGGAGGAAGAGAGGGAGGGTTACCACGAAGGTCAAAAGAATGAAGTTTGGATAGAATATGATATCTCAATGTGGTGTCATGCCTTTTCCAGGTAAAAAAGGACAGCAACCAAGGAGGTCTTCACAACAAACGCAGTATAAATATAGACCTCCAAGTTCACCGAGACATCAGTCATGCTGCAATACTTGCGAAAGCCAAAATGAGGAGTGAAGAGGTGGTGATAGTGTTCCAAGAACCACATGAGACAGACATTGACCATACGTTCAAAGAGTTTGCAGACACAACTCGTGAGGGCAATGGGGTTGAAGTTTTTAGGGGGATGACCCTAGGAACCAGGTTTTTGAATGGGATGAACAACTGCCTCAAGCCAGTCCTCAGGGACTGACGATGACTCCCAGACATGGTTATAAACATTCAGTAAATATTGAAACGTGTATAGAGGGATATGGTAAAGCATCTCATAATAATAGATGCAAACTGGGTCATGCAGGTCAGGGCAGACTTGAGTTCTGAGAGAGAAAGGATCGTTATAAGGGAGCTGAAGATGAGTGCAAAAATCTAAGGTACAAGATTCAAGAATACGAGTAAGGAAAGATAGAGGAAGATGAGAACCGGTGCTAATAGTCGAAAAATGTGAACTTAATTCGGTCGCAACCGACACCGGATCCGCCACACTAGAACCACGGAGGTGAAGGACTGGCGAGAAATCTGGAACAACTTATCTACTATCTTGCAGATTTTCTTCCAGATCAGGGGCATAGGAGTGTCAGACGTAATGGTGGAAACGAAAGATCTCCAACTATCATGCTTAGCCATGCGGATGGCCCTATAGGCCACCGCACTCGCCTTCTGAAACAAAATAAAAGAATCGGGCGTCTGTCGGCGACAGTGTTTCTTCCAGGCTGCACGCTTACAGCGGACAGCCCAAGCACAGTCTCCATTCCACCAACGAACGCACTTCCGTGCGCCCCGGGAGGTAGAGCAAGGAACAGAGTAGATGGCAGCTTCAAAAACTGTGTCATGACATAGGAGGAGGGCTCGAGGGAGAGGCAAATCAGAGAGGTCAGAAAGAGTAGCATGTAGGCGAAGAGGTTCCAGTCAGCCTTGGCAAACTGCCACCTAGGGAAGGAGAGTGGAGGGTGACAATAGAAGAAAGTGACAATAATTGGGAAATAGTCCCTGTTATGTAGGTCATCAAGAACCTGCCATGTGAAGTCTAAATAAAGAGAAGACGAGCAGAGAGAAAGAGCAAGACAATTAAGGGTTCCAGTGTTGGAGTCAACATAAATGTGTTCACCAGAATTCTAAAGAGATAGAGAAGGAGAAGACAAATGGTTTAAGGCGGCGGCCCCGGGTGTTTGTCAGAGCATCGCCCCAGAGGGTATGCCGACAGATGAAAATCACCCAACAGGAGCACAGGCGCTGGTAAGAAGTCCAACAGGTGTTTAAGATCAGTAAGAGAAATTGGGATATTAGAGGAGAGATACATGGAACAGACTGTATACCATTTACTCACACAGATATGGACCACAGAACACTCAATGGGTGACTGA